TACAAAAATCTACTACTCAACGGACCTAAAATTGCATAAAAGTTTAGAAATTTGACACGAGAAAAGTGTAATAGACGTTACTTAAAGGAGTGGGTTAATACGTACTAAGGGGCCCTTTTCTTTGTCAAAAAGGGAATAATGTTAAAGTAGTTATGGATAGCCAGTCATGTCACCAAATAACAGTGGAGCGATGGGTTGAAGTTCCCTTCATTTATTGTGGAATACTCTCTACACCGGGCATCACAAGCCCTGATGAGATAATCAAGGGGTATATGAAAACTACAGCTAGGGGAGGGCTGCCACCTGACCCAAAAGTGGTACCATCGAACTCGACATTTTAACACTAAGAAAGACACCATCGGCGACATACCATCGGCACAATTACTGCAGTAGCTCCAGCCTGAAAAAGGAAATAACATTTTTAACATATAGAAATTTCACATGAAGAACTGATAAGGTAATCTTTTTTTTTTTTTAAATTCTGCGTGTTGAGAATTGAGATCGTTTCGAATTATAAAATAAAAGTAAAATTAAATCCTTAAACGTTATCCAGGAAAGTAATTTCGAATGCCTTTGTTCGACTTTTATAACAAACCCAAGAGACCACAATTCTTACCCTTTAGGGGGGAGGGGGCGGGGGAGTAGTGGTTCATTTCTCTTGGGAGGGAACACTTCTATTCAAAGCACACACAGTTCTGAAGAATGCCTGAGGCATCGAGACAGTCTGATCGGTTATTCGCTAGCATCTCTCATGACTTATCTGGACTGATAAACTTGGCCACAACAAGTATAATGCTGCTAAGAAAACGAAACGCCTATACAGAGGCAACAACAGTGTAGTGTCATTTACCATATTCAAACTTCTGCAGAAGGCATAACGAGGTAGTTATACGGAATATATTACAAATCTCATCAGGTATCACTAGGAAAAGAATGAGTTGCCTCTAACATCTACAGATGAAATAGTACATAAGTACCTTCAAAGGGAATAATTCAGAGAGCTTAAACAATCGTGACGTCAACGCCTACAAAAACGCAAGTTTCAGATTTTCTCCGTGCAGCTGCACGCGGTCGTAGCGCCGTGTTGGGGTTCTTGTCATTTGAATACGTTTATTTCAGGTTTTGAGTCTTAAAATACGCGCAGAGCTATTGTTCTGCCTCTTAAATTTTTTGATTCACCAGGATTTCTTTGCCGTCAGTCGCACTTTGCTCAAGGTATTTGAAAATATCAATAGGTAACACAACGTCGACATTTTGTAGGTGCAACAAAATATTTACTCAAAGTCTACGAGCATTGTGGCTGAACTACAACGTTAACAAAGCACGCAAGAAACGTCGCACTAAAACACACGGTGAAAGATTAAAAAATTGAATTCTGACAAACATTTTCCTTGCATATGTCCAAGTCATCTCTGATTGGAAAAATGAGCTAAGCGAGTAGATAAGTCTGTATAAATTGTGGATATCGACATCACCTCTTCTAATGTGGTTAATAGAACATTGGTCGAGCTGTCAATTAGCCACCAACAAATAAACTGAAATACAAAGGTACCAGTCATCTCTTACCCAGCCAATTGTTTTTTTCCAAATACCGGGAAAACTAAATCACATTAGTAAAAAGCACATTTAGTTTACCAACTTCTGCCTAAAAGAATAATGATGATCGTAAAACTTGAAAAAAAAACAAAAACAAAAAAAGAACAAAATTACATTTGAGCAACGCGAAAAGTTAACCACCAAACACTGCGGTAAACAGCATCAGTGAGAAAAGACCAACGCTGATGTCAAGAATGCCTGCACCTGCTACTGTTTTTGGAGCTGCTACTGTTGTTGGAGCTGCTACTGTTGTTGGAGCTACTACGGTTGACGTAGGTTTTTCGAAACTGTTATAAACTTTGCGGTCATTCAACTTCTGAACTGGACGGTAATTGTTAACCATAGGTAAACCGCTTGTGAAGTTCAGCTTACGCAGATAGCCCATCTACAGACATAAAAAATGATGTTAATACTCATTGAATTTTGACCACTGCTTAAGATCTTCCTTTCTCCCCC